GATGGCTGATACCTAAAGTAAGCTAATTATCTAACTGTTGATAGCTGTTGAAAATTGTACAACCTTAGGATTAAGAAAGGCCGACGAGTCAGCCGGAACTCCGTTAACTATGCAGTTGTTTTTCTAACCTCGAGATTGTCCTTTGAAAGGAAACCTATAAACTAGATGCAAAGCTGTGCAGTATTGCATGCATGCACAAGATTTCAAACCATCTGGAGAAAGTGCTCACATATAACTTTCTCTTCAGTCTAATACGTCAATAAGGGAAAGAATACTCAATAAAAGTGGGACGCTTTATCAACTGAAATTTGAAAACAAATACTAAATTATGGATTATTCAACAATCAATACAAAACGAGTTGTACGGACAAAGGAAAATATATAAAGTGAACGACAAACGATTGAAACACATGGAAGGAATTTGTGAAGTAGTTTGGGTGATGGACCGAAGCATCAAGCTAGTCATTTTCGTCTTCAGCAGAAATTTTTCTCTCCATGTCTTAAAAAACCAAAATGACAACCCACTATCAATCCTTTGCTACTTCATATGCTTCTATGTGGTACTATTCGATGTACTGCAGTATCATTGATAAAAGGTATTGTATGGTGGCTCTTACCATATTATTTGGATAACCATAAAATAAAAGGAAATGTAACAAGCGAGCATTAGATCAGAGAATTACTAGTACGAGATCTGGTAATTACTAGTGGAATAGTTGTACCTTATACCCATTTACATCATTACATCAGTATCTACAGTGTCTGATTTTACTGTTGGTTATCACTTTGTGTCTAACAAGGAGTGTACAGAAATGTCAGAGTAAGCCATCTTTAGTTTAAATCCATGATTTCCGAAAAAGAGCTCCAATGATTAAAAATAAGAGCAAATGAGCTCTTTCCAACATATTTTATTATTACATAGAAGCTGCTAAAGTAAGTTCCAGTTCCGACAAGACGACTGCGTATTTAATTTCTCTGTTACCGCATGACAGTCTCTTCTCAAATTCCTTGGACTTTGGCGATATTCGAATTATCTCAGTCCATTATTAATGCTCCAATCCTCTTAAAAAACGCATCTTAGTTTTCTCAACAAGAATTATATGTCGGTGAATGCATACTTTATTAATAATTATGCTGATAGCCTCTGCTGTATAATGTACCACTTCTACTATTGACTTCGCCTTACTTTCTAATTCTATAGCTTCCAAAAACTTGACGACGGGTAAGTGCTCGCCGATCATCAACGTTGCAAAAACTACTGCACCTACCCCTCGTATGAGCCGGTACACCTGTTTACCGCCATGCGGGTAGACAGATGTTTTCATTCCGCGACTATCAACGTCGATGCGTACTCCGTGAGGCGTTGCGTTTCTCGTCGACGATATTTGCATTGTGGAGGGGTTAAGATGGAGGGAGGGAGGCGGGAAGAGTAGAGGAGCATTTCTCACGTGGAGATATCTCGACATGGATTTCCGACACTTGACGTGTACTACATCTGTATATAATTTCCATGACCGGAATTGCGATATTCCTTTCTGGTTTCAAATTGGCATTGGTTTCCTGTCAGATGTTATTTGTGCATGAACAACATTTGTCACTTGTATATTCACTTTATATGCCACCAGGCGACATGCTTACCTGCACTTCATCAGTGGTATCTTTGTGTGGACCATCGTAAATTATTTGAATGACGTAGAAAGTCGAAATAATGGGATGGGAAAGGAATACGGCAAATAGGAGAAATAATGGCGAAGAGGAAATGGATGTCCTGAAGTGCAACCTTCTCCTGTGATGTAAGGTCATGTCTCTTAGTTCCTTACCTTCAGGGAAGACCGATCCTTGAGAGAGTATAGGAGAGCAAGCAGTCAGGTAGTGCCCATCCCGGGAGTTGGTCAGAAAAATCATACCGTTGTGGGCTGACTGGCACACCATTCGATTAGTTGGTTGCTAGCTGTAGGAATGTGCGCCGCTACGGTAGCTTCCATGTACGATGTTCATCAACTCGTCGACTTTTACAGATTGGCCTACAAAGCGGGTTGGTTGCTTGTTATTCGGCCAGAAGTTTATATTTTCTCGCTGTCAGTTTGACTTTCATTTTGCATTTGGATCGGAGCAGCTTTCTTCCCCTCCCTCTGTCTGGTTGTCCTTTATCCCTCTTTCTATCTCTCTATCATGTTCTCATCGAGTCGATCATTGCGAGGTACTATTCCGCCAGTTACACGTGAGTGAGAATGATTCCATTTCAGCGTTTTTTTTTTCTTTCTAGAAGTGGATCAAATGTCTTTTTAGAAAGGTCAAGTCAACAGCTATTTGAGTGGGCTAGTATGTCGTGGCATAACCTCATCCCTATTTACCTTGAAATGAACTGTTGAAAATATTTAAAAAATTTCTTGAAATTTTTAAAATGATTGGATTTATTTTTCAGGCTACGGATTTGGGGAAGCTACGTCAGGAGCTTATCCATTGGTTAGCGGTGTGTGAGTATTGCTTAATTTACCTAATTCATTTTTAACAATCTTCAAACTTTCAAAGTCTGTTTAAAATACCACACCATTGCATCTTGAATTTTATCGAACTGTTAACATAGGTCTTTTGCATTATTACTATGCATGTGTGATCTTGCGCTGTCCAGCTACCTTTTGCACAGATGGGATGGTAATACAAGGTCAGAATAATGATTTGCAAACGGCCAAGAATAAGAAACCAAAATTAGCACGTTTTTGACGTTTAGTGTTAGCTGCTGCATTTGTAGTCGATCTTCGTTTTCATCGTCATCGGTTTTTTTCAGTCTGTTTTATTGAACTTTTCTGCGTATTTTTGTTTTGGATTTTTCAACATATTTTCTCACCATTTCAGACCTCCGGCAGGCGTTTTTGGTGGTAGTCCAACTCTAAAGGCACGAGATGTTAGTTTCGATACTAGCTCGAAGGAGCCCCATCTTGTGAGGTAATTATCACTTACCTCTTCTACCAACTTATTACTTAATAATGAAAGAAGTCTCCGTGGATTACTTCAGAATCAGAAATCAATTGTCCATGATAAAGGGAAAAGGAACAAGATTCATCTCACGCAAAGCATAACACACAATTGTTACCCGTTTGTTATACTGCAGCAACAACTTTCGCTAATATTTATTGGGTATCGTTGCTGCAAAGACATGCAATAAATTGCTATAATTTGATTGATTTCAATGAGATTTCGGTAGTCGCATACTTAGCTTTACATCGGAGCGTTTGCGGCTTTTCAACTGATGTCCTGGATGTTACGCTAGATGTCATACAAAGATGCACATCGTTTGGAGGGAAACGACTTCCATGATAAGAATACTTAAGCTTCTGCATTAAATCATTCTGTTTAACTTTTTTGTCTTCCCAATAATCTATAACTTATATCCGTACTGTGAATGCTTTCAATCAAATTCATCTCATATTAGAAAGTTCTCTAACTTTACCAGTTCGAAAATCTGTATCTTGTGAATTTTATTGGTATTGTATTGTTTATAATCTTCTTTCTTTGTAGCATAGGAGGAAGAAATAGTGTGAATTCATTCTGTAAGTTTTAAGAACATGATAATTTCCATTATCTTCTTTGTAGAGAAAATGTAGTAGTTTATCCGTCTATGAAAGAAATAATTAGCGTATAAGGAGAAACATGAAATTTTCCAGTGTTTTTATTGATAGGAAGAATGAACTTGAGGACTTTCAAGTTTACTTCAGTTTGTTTGCAATATGCACACCCTTAAATCTGTTGCGGGCTTTATCTGTCGTTCTCTCATTTTTAAAAGTTTTAGAGCACTATTCAAGTTGCTTTGAATCTCGCTGTTTCTGCTTGCAGAAGACAATTCATATCATTGAACCTTAGAGCAAATGACCTACCAAAAGTTATAAGTTAGGTGATGTTCGGTAATATGGTCTGGAAAAAATAAGACTTTGCTTTTAACCGTTTGTACTCATGTGTGTGATTGTCTCCGTTCATATATATATATATATATATATATATATATATATATATATATATATATATATATATATATATATATATATATATATATAGTAGTAG